TTTTCTACAATGGTTGTACCAAGTTACAATCCCACCAACAATGTAGGAGAGTTCCCTTTTCTCCACATTCTCACCAGCATTTTTTTTCTGCCATTTTGATAATATCCATTCTAACTGGAGTGAGATGATATCTCATTGTAGCTTTAATTTGCATTTCCCTGTTGATTAGTGATGTTGAACATTTTTTCATGTGCCTATTTGGTCTTTTGAGAAATGTCTGTTCAGGTCCTTTGCCCATTTTTTAATTGGGTTATTTAGGTTTTTGCTATTGAGTTGATTGAGTTATGTATTCTGGATATTAGCCCCTTGTCTGGTATGTAATTTGCAAACACTTTCTCCCATTCTGTGGTTATCACTTCACTTTGTTGATTGTGTCCTTTGCTGTGCAGAAGCTTTTTAGATTGATGTAGTCTCATTTATGTATTTTTGCTTTAGTTGCCTGTGCCTTTGTAGTTTTGCTCAAAAAATCGCTGCCTACTCCCATTTTATGCAATATTTCCTCTATGTTTTCTTCTAGTAGTTTCATAGATTCAGGTCTTCAATTTAGGTCTTTGATACATTTTGAGTTGATATTTGTGTATGGGGAGAGATAGAGGTCTAATTTTTTGCTCAAAAAATCGCTGCCTACTCCCATTTTATGCAATATTTCCTCTATGTTTTCTTCTAGTAGTTTCATAGATTCAGGTCTTCAGTTTAGGTCTTTGATACATTTTGAGTTGATATTTGTGTATGGGGAGAGATAGAGGTCTAATTTCAGTCTTCTGCATGTGGACTTCCAGTTTTCCCAGCACCATTTATTGAAGAGATTGTCGTTTCCTCATTCAATGGTCTTTGTGCCTTTATGAAAAATCAGTTGGCTGTAAATACATGGCTTTATTTCTAGGTTCTCTATTATGTTCCATTGGTCTGTGTGTCTGTTGTTATGATGGTACCATGTTATTTTGGTTACTATGGCTTTGTACTATATTTTGAGGTAAGGTAGTGTAATGCCTCGAGCTTTTTTCTTTTTGCTCAGGATTGCTTTGGGTATTTGGGGTCTTTTGTAATTCCATATGTATTTTAGGATTGCTTTTTTCTATTTCTGTGTAGAATGTCATTGGTATTTTGATAGGGATTACACTGACTCTATAGATAGCTTTGGGTATATGGTCCTTTTCACAATATTCTTTCAGCCCATGAACATAGAACATCTTTCCGTTTCTTTGTGTCATCTTCAATTTTCTTCATCAGTGTTTTATAGTTTTCCTTGTAGAGCTTTTTCACCTTCTTGGTTAAATTCCTAGGTATTTTGTTTTTTTGGTAGCTGTTGTAAATGGAATTGCTTTCTTGATTTTTTTCATCTTGCTCATTATTTGTGTATAGAAGTGCTAGTGATTTTTGTGTGTTGATTTTATGTCCTGTAACTATTGAATTTATCAGTTCTAGGAGCTTTTTGGTGGAGCTTTTAGGTTTTTCTATGTGTAAGATCATGTCATCTGCAAACAGGGACGATTTGACTTCCTCTTTTCCAAATTGAATGCCCTTTATTTCTTTTTCTTGCCTAATCTCTGGCTAGGACTTCCAGTACTATGATGAATAAGAGTGGAGAGAGTGAGCATCCTTGTCTTGTTCCAGTCCTCAGAGGAAGAGCTTTCAGCTTTTTCCCATATATAGTCTTTACTGTGTTGAGGTATGTTCCGTATACGTCTAATTTGTTGAGGGTTTTTATCATGAAGTGATGTTGAATTGTAGCAAGTGCTTTTTCTGTGTCAGTTGAGATGATCATATGGTTTTTGTCCTTCTTCAAAAGATTTTTGAACAGGAGAATGTCATGATTGTATTAACAGACGCATATTGACACCAGGTGAAGAATGAATTGAAGCAGAGCAATCCTAAAAGTGCAAGAGACTAATTAAGAAGGGTTTCTAATAATCTAGAAAAGGAGTTGTGAAACCTTTAATTAAAGCAATGACTTTTATCACTAAAAGAGAATTTTAAACTATTTCTGCTTTAAATCTCAACACATTTTAGAATTCTGGTTTAACAGGAAGAATCATGGAACTTAAACATAGGAAACAAGTTTCAGAACCTTTTAAGAAGTGTCAAGTAATATTTCTTTTGGTGATGTTAGCTTTAAATTTTTCTGTTGTTTATTCAGTACTTACGTGCTGATTTACTGCTATGTTATTGTGGCTGTTTTGTGTGTGTTTGTAGTGTGCACTTGGAAGTAATTATAGCTGCTTGAAAAGACTGAGTTCTGTATTAATCCCATGAACTCAGAGCCACATTTTTTGCAGCTTTTGTGCTAGAAAAGAAATTCGTACCATTTTCATTTACAGTCTAAGTATATTTATAGAAAGCCCTGTAAATACTCTAAATAAAGTAGAATTTCAGGAATCTTGAACCTAGAAATAGGAGAAAAAAGTTAAATGGTTGCTGTATGTTTACATAGTTTTTAGGTAGGTCATTCAAAATAGATCGTATTTAGAGAATTCATTTATAAAATCATTAAGGGCAGTATTATTCTTAATTGTACCTCTAATCCTTATAACATTCTCTTTTTACATGTGTTTTGCCAGTTGGTTTTCTTTCATTTGAGCTTAAATAGACCAGTATCAATTCACAATTAATTAAAAACAAAAAAAACAAAAACAAAAAAACCCCAAACTGAATTGTAAACAACCTTGTGGCAAAAAATAAGGCTAGTAAAATAGAAAAAAAAAAAAAAAAAAAGGATTCACCTTTACAATAGCAACCATTGAGACATCCTTATTTTATGCATATATATATATGAATACAGGTTGTAATTCTGTATTATATAATATTATTTTATTTTCTACTTTCATCCTCTGATTTTTCCTATAGGATTTTCCATGTCTTTAACACACATCTCACATATTTTTTTTTTACAATCTTGTTTTTTCTTTTCTTTTCTTTTTTTTTTTTTTTTTTTTTTTTTT